CAACACAAAGCTAAAAAAATAAAAAGCTAAATCGCGACCAATGATCGAAGACATCAGCGTTTTAAGCCTTCGATTCCAGTAAGGACTCCGAATCCATTCCCGTAATCATTTACTGAGGTTCAAAATGAAAATCTAATCCGTTCATTATTTTTTATAAAAAAATAAAAATAAAAATAAAATAACAATAGGTGCTGACGAAGCCATTTGATTATGTTTTGGGATTGGATTAAGCATGTTTTCCTGTTGTGTGATTTATCTCGCGATATTCAATTTTGGATTACATGCTATAATATATTGATGTACTTGATGAGTTCCAGTGTGCTTATGCTGATGTATAATAGTTTTTATGTATGTTGGTGCACATGTTGATGTATAATAATTTTTATGCACGTTGGGTGTATGTGTGTAAGTGTCTCCATTGGTTTATGGTGTTAGGCTTCGATGTTGATGGATGTTGTAAAGGGATGGGGTTGCAAGTAATGTTTGATATAATTGTGTGTGTGCATATGTGTGTTAAATAAGAAATAGTGAATTGCTCGATTATGGGGTTAAATTGGTAATATTGAGATATCTTAGTTTTCATATTTATGAGTTTACTAGCATATAAAAATACCAGTATCGAAATAGTAAATATAGTAATAAAATAATAAACTCAGTGTTACCAGAAAAATAGAGAAGTAAAGGAACTAAATCGAATTATTTGAAATCAGTGAAATTTAATACTGCAAATGCAATATTTTGATAATTGTGCTCAATTTATATGATAATCATGTTTCGATGATGCAGAGCGAGCCCTACTATGGATATGGGAACAACGGTGCCCGTATGGGTTGGGGTATGGGGTGACCGACTGGTTATGGCACTCATATGAGTTGGGTTATGAGAATAGCCGGTGTTTGTGGTGCCCATATGGGTTGAGGTGTGAGGAGGCTGATAATAGTGGTGCTTATATGAGTTGGGGTATAAGTACAACCAACGATTTATCATTGATTATGAAAATATTTGAGTATCCACAAGTAGAGAGGATCATTAATGTGTTAAATAGTATCAGTTAAAGAGGCATTATGTGATAAAAACTAAAGATATTTGTGGCCCTGAATATAAAACGAAAGAGAAAGATGAATTAATTTGATTCATATATTGTATTTGATGGTATATTTGATATAATATAATCATGTTTATACATGAGAATGCAAGTTGTTCGCTCAGATAAGTAATGTGTCTTGATAGTATTGTGAATGAAAAAGGTATGAGAGGTTTTCAAATAATCAAATGAATTTTATTAAAATATATATTATGTTAGTGTTTTATTATTTTCTACAATGCGGTGGTAAGTTGTTACGTTGTTTGATTTTTAAATTCTTACTGAGCTAGTGTAACTCATTTAATTTATTACTTAAACTTTTCAAATTCAGACGTTTAAGACTCTGCTCATGAGTAGTAAGAGATTTGTTAGGAGACTATTCTTTTCCATTTTACCATAAATTGAACTATATTCAAGGTTATTTATTTACTATAGTAAGTTTTTATTTTTAAGACTTAGATATGTCTCACGAATATTGGATATTTTGAGATTGAGTCATGTAAGGAATGTACTTTTCATTTCTTTAATATTTACTATGCGAGATGTTTTCCTAAATTACTTGTCATTGCCTATTTGTGATGCGACTAGAATTTTGAATTGAAGTTCGGGTCATTACATATATGAGTGAGAATAAATTATTGTTGATTAGTGAAAGCTACACAAAATAAGATTATGTAAAAGGCAAAACAAAGGTGATTGAGTTTCTATATTGACAAATTTTATAAATAATGCTTGGTAATATAAACTTGATGGAATCACCTATATGTGAAGTTGCTCTTATGAGATTTTGAATGAGATTTTTGAAGTGCTCATGAAAGCCCATATACATACATGTATGACATATTAGTATCACCTAAGCTGAGCATTTTAGATTAATAAATATAAGGATGTATATTCTCTTAAATTATATTGGATTGCTTCTTTATTGTGAATCTAATAAAATTCTATTTTGATTTTCTTCATTGTATTATGAATATCTCCAAAATTTATCCTTTTT